TGGAATGCAACCCATTACACTGAGATGGCTATGTTTTTCTCAGGAGGCAGATAGTGGCAACAGAAATAGTTAAGTTTTAATGAGTGCTTACTAAGTGCTATGTTCCAGGCAATAAGCTAAAGGATTTTATGTCCATTATTTTGTGTGGAGACAGCAACCCTATTTTGTAGTAACTACAATTACCATCGTTTTGCAGGTGAGGAAACTGACAACTCAGAGAGGATACCTAGCTTTCCCACAGGCCCCTAACCAACAGTGGCAGAATGGTATACTCCTGACATGGCATGGCTGGGTCTTGCCACCAAATGTAGGGGACCTCTCCCTCAACAGGCAGCAGCCTGGTTATTTCATTGTGGTCTTAAAGCTCCTGGGATGAAAGGTGACCAATGCAAGGCTACATTCCCATTCTGCTCCACTTTGGTAGAAATGCTCCTGCAAAACAACCATGCATTTCAAGCAGGCTTTCCATGGAAAAGCTAGAGTGGGCACACACTCAATTCAATTCCCAGGGTGCTTTCTCACAGAGGTTCTTCCACAAGATTACAAAGACTGGGAACCTAGCCCATTATTATTAACATTTTTACAAAGCTATTCTGGCTGCTTTCAGGGCCATATCAGTTTCAAAGATCGCTGTTGGGGTGGGAGCAACTGAAGTTGAAATAGTCTGAATGTTAAATGTAGCCTTGGAGCGGAAACTTTTCTTTGGAGTTGAAAAGTCGGTGGAATATTCATAGAAACGTAATATGAGCACAAGATACCAAGTCAGTGTCAAAACTTTGTTCCAAACCATATTTGCTGTTTGTAAAACTGGCTCCTCAGGGACTGGCTGGGGGATAAGGTAAGAAGGCGAGTGGGTTGGGTTCCTGCATGCCTTGAGAAAGGTCTGGAGGTCAGGGCTCCCCTTCTCCATAGAGGGGGATCTTGCATCCACAGGACTTAGGATTTTGAGCGGTGGTGGTGGTAATGGGGTCCAGCCCTTCCTGCTCTGGGAGGACCATCTCTGACTCAGATATGAATCTCATTTCTTTATTTTGCCACCTGTGTTGTGCATGAGAAATAGAAGCTGTAGAGGTGTCTATCGAAAAGCATTGTGTGGTGTTTTGCGAGTGCAGAAGTGACACGATTTACATTTTCTTTGAAAGTCTCCTGACCAAGATATTGATTTTTTAAACATCATGGGGCATAGACCCTGAGGGACATCATCTTAGGATTCTGGAACTATACCATAAAACTAACCAAAGGGATCCAAAACTGATGACCTAAATTTCCTTTCAAGAATGAACAAATCTTTCTCATTTTTTCCCCCTAGGAACTCTACTCATCTGTAGTTAATCTAAGAATTAACATTTAGCAAATTACTGCCTCAGTGTCTTAAATGAGGTATGTGCCTGGTGGCTCTGTTGATTAGAACCTTGTGCTAATGAGGTCATGGGTTCAGTCCCCAAGAGGGCTGCTTCATTCATCGTGGTCCCCCTCCAAGCCCCAGTCAGGTCTCCAAATGGCCACTGGTCACAAATGGCCTTTTCGGAAAGAATCAACAAAATTTTTCACCATTTATGGGAAAAACAACTCAAAGCAGATGACTTGAGTTAATTTGGAATATGACAACGATCCTATGGGGTAACAAAATGGTACCCCAGAGGCTGTAAGGACTTCTTGCAGACTGTGCCAAGTGCCACACTTCGTGGGGGTGGCTTCCTTGCTGGGAAAATTGATTGACGTGTGTGGGAGGTTCCAATCCTACCAGTTAAAGGGGAGTGCCAACTAATAACAGTAGGAGGCTGAATGCTTATTCAAAATGCAGACTCAGAGGGACACTTTAGTAGAATTTTGTTGAATTTTTGCTAGTCACTTACCTAAAATAAGAATCATTTTGGGCCTTCTGATTAACATCTGAAGTTATGCAACCCATGGGGCCATTTCTACCACTGCCAGGCCACTCCAACCATTTGTCTCAAGCTGCCAGGAGACGCAGTAGCTGGGAGCACTCAGAGTGAGGGTGATTCTCGTTCTCATGTATTCTTTCCATTTTGCACTCCCAACCCTCTCTCAGAAACCACTTTTTCAGGTCCAGTTCCAATGCCAAGTCTCAGTTAAGCATGACTGGATGCAGTGACATCCTCTGAGGCCATTTCTTGGATTTAGGGAAGAGTAATGCCTAATGAGCTCCACTGGCTTTCTCCCAGTTACCAAGAACCCCTTCTCCAGGGTAGACGCTAGTTCTTTTTTAAAAAATTTAAAAATTTTTAATTACTATACCCCTTTCCTCTAGCAGAGTGCTTTGTGTATAGTGGGAGTTAAAAAATATTTGTCAAATGAATGAGTGAGTGGAGTAAAGAACCAAATGTAGAACTGGTTCCATTTAAACGAGAATCATCTTTTAATGTTATAATTTTCTTGTTTTTCTTTTTACAAAAGCATATGTGATTATTGAAAATAACTTAGAAAGTAGAGAAAAACAAAATTTAGAAGATAAAAATCACCCATAACACCATCTCTTAGAGATAACCTTCCTTGCCATTTTGGAGTGAATGATATCGATATCCATATATATATCTATCATATAGCTTGACCGTGTGTGTCATTGTATAATGTTTTTATTCATTGTATCAAAATGCTTTGCATGATATTATATATTCTTCCACATTATCATTAAAACATGTTTTAGAGCATTTCATTGCATGACTGGACTTCAACTTAATCAGTTGCGTATTAAATTATACTTGTAGCAAAAATGTTCTACGTAGCTTTGTTTATTTCCTTGGGATAAATTTCTATAAGAGGAATTGCCTGGCTCCATGGTTTTCTAATTTAATATGTGTTGGCAAGGTATTAATCAAAGAGGGGCCACCAATTTTCACTCCTATTTGCAAAAATCTAGTGTACCACCACTATCCTCCTTTGCCAAACAGTATTATCATCCTTCTAAATATTTGCTAATTTCATAGGCAAAAGTATATCAGTGTTCTTATACTTTATATTTCTTTTACTAATAGTGAAACTAAGTTTTTAAAAAGTCTGGTTATTTTAATGTCTTCTTTGCAAATTGTCAGTTAATGTTCTTTAAGACCTATATATTTGGAGAGGCAATAGACTTACCCCTTTCTGTTTCATAGGGCTGTTGTAAGAATTTGTTGAAGCAATCTATTTGAATGTGTTTGAAATCTACAAAGCAATGCACAAATGTATTGATCAAATGTGTGACCTGGTAGAGGAAGGGTCAGGAAGAATGGTCTCTACTGACAGATGAGCTGAGTACTGGGTGAAGGCTTGCGTAAGATTTGTTGGAGGAGGGATAGGGAGAGGCACCTGTACAGAAAGGGAAAGGGGCCTTTTGTCAAGAGATTTGTGACTTTGGGAAGGTCTCTGGAAATAGACAAGGTCAGAAGCAATGCAGGGTCTGGCGGCTGGAGATGAGAGCCAGTTAGAAAGAGCAGGGAACAAGACAGGCCAGAGGAACTGCAGAAAATAAAAGAGACTGAGTGGGAGTAGGAGACATCTCAAATGTCCCAAAACCACCAACGGAGAAAAGAAAAAAACTGCAGTGCGACTTCTCTGAAGACTCACCAGTAGGCCAGTGTAACCAAGGCAGCAGGCGTGTTCAAGAACAAATAGGGAAACAGTGCCACTGAAGACAGGTGTGGTCCCATGGCCACAGGACGTCCACGCTTTCCAACGAGTCCCTGGAGGAATCACACCTGCAAAAGGCACACAAAATAGATAATTAAATAAAGACAAAATACGGCACTAAAATTCCCCCAGCTTGTGTATGATCCCACTTATGTAAAATGATACATAAGATATGTGTAGAGTATATAATATATATGCTATATATTAGATATGTATTTTATTATTTATTTATTTATTTATTTATTTATTTATTTATTTATTGAGATGGAGTCTCGCTCTGTTGCCCAGGCTGGAGTGCAAGGGCATGATCTTGGCTCACTGCAACCTCTGCCGCCCAGATTCAAGCGATTTTCCTCCTCAGCCTCCCGAGTAGCTGGGATTACAGGCACGTGTACCACCACGCCTGGCTAATTTTTATATTTTTAGTAGAGACGGGGCTTCACCACATTGGCCAGGCTGGTCTCAAACTCCTGACCTCAGGTGATCCGCCCGCCTTGGCCTCCCAAAGGGCTGGGATTGCAGGCATGAGCCACCGTGCCTGGCTTATTCTTTATATATTATACACGGATACAGGCATATATACACATGCCCTTGGTATTCTTGAGATAGTGATAATGAAGTGGGATAGGAAGAAATAATTATATTTGCTTTTATTCACCTTTTTAAGTATTGTTTTGCTTGTTATGGTAGGTACATGTTACTTCTCTAGTTTGAAAATAAAGAAAAATTAAAGGAATGTAAACTATGCTGTGAGTGTTGCTTGCCGTTATCCACTCTGCAGCACACAGCGTGGGGAATTCACGAGGCAATGGGAGCTGAATTTCTGGGCCGTCACTGGAGCCCAGGCTAACTCTGGCAGGGGAGTCCTAGGGACCATCTGACAGTCACACCTGTGCCTCTCAGGGCACCAGGCTTATCACCATCTTACACTTAGATAAGAGGACACTTAGGTAATAAGGGAAGCTGTGCCTCCTTGGCAGGAAGGACCCTGACCAACAGGTGGGACATTTCTGTGGGCTGGGAGCAAACAGAGGTCTTCCTGCCAGATCAGGTGAGGGTGGCCACCTTGCAGGGAGGAGGCACAAATCAATTGCAGGGGAAAGAATTTGAGCTTGGGACCAGGTGCGGTGGCTCACACCTGTAATCCCAGCACTTTGGAAGGCTGAGGCAGATGGATCACCTGAGGTCAGGAGTTTGCTAAAATACAAAATCCAAAAATACAAAAATCAGCTGGGCGTGGTGGTTTGTGCATATAATCCCAGCTCCTTTGGAGGCTGAGGCAGGAGAATCATTTGAACCCAGGAGGCAGAGGTTGCAGTGAGCCAAGATGATGCCACTGCACTCCAACCTGGATGACAGAGTGAGACTCTGTCTCAAAAAAAAAAAAAAAAAATGAGCTTGGTGGAGGAGGGAAAAAGCTTTCTTCTCCTTCAGTTCAAGGGCTGCCATTGCAGCAGGTGAAACAAAGCCCTGGCTGTGTGGGGTTTTGTGTTGCTTTATATTAGGTGAGCTGCTTTGAGGCAAAACCCTGTTTCCTGTGTCCTTCATGGGCCAGACACTGTGTGGGGGCTTGAAGTGTAGAAATAAGGCTGAGGTGGCCTCTGCCCTTCTGAAGGTCACAGTTGAGCTGGGGAGACAGATGGTACAGGAGATCCCGGACCAACAGAGCGTCGCCACACGTGGCAATGACGGCTCCACAGGAAACCCACTAGGCATGAGGGTGAAGATCAGGGCTAGGACCGCTTTGGACCGGAGGCGCTCTCTGGCAGGTCTTTCTGAGCAGAGGATACTTCAGGCAAGTCAAGGATGAAGCAGAGGGGCTGACAGTGAATAGCGGGATGAAGGAGGCCCAGGAGGTGGGCCTGGCGCGTGTCCTGTTCGCCTGCAGAGCCATGAGCTGGGCTGCTGGGTAAGGGTGGGGTGTGAGAGGCTGGCTTCCCGTTCAGGAGTTTGACCTTCTCCCAAATGCAAAGGGTAGGTAGTGTGCTCAGAAATCCAGCGATGGAGCGCCTCTGCCTCCACTCAGCGCCCACTATAAATGTGCTGAATGAGCAAAAAACAAATACAGTAGATGGATGTTGCATGCTCAGAAACATTCCATTTTATTTTATTTTTAAACTTTGGTTTCGATTTCTATTATATAAAAAGTCACTTCCATTTAGATTTGTTTTCACTGCAAGACCAAGCTACAGTGGGGAGAACAGGGTCTGGTGTGTAGCCACGTACCTGCAGCTAGAGGGACGCAGCTTGAGATGCCCTCCCACTGCCTGGACCTCATGAAGTGCTTTCACGAACCAATCTGTCCCCTTTGTCGTCACCAGACATGCTAGGCTGAGCAGGTATTCATATAGTCTCCACTTTGAAAATAAGGATGCAGAGCCTGGGAGAATGGAAAAGACTTGGCAAGGTCTCTGGAACATGTGCCTGTGTTCTGGTGAGCTTTCTGTGAGCCTGAGGCAAACGGTGGCCACATTCAGAATTACTTGGGCTCCTAGCAGTGGCCTCAGAGGCCTTTGCTGGAGGAGTCTGTGGTGAGCGGGAAGGAGCTTAGGGGTGGCTCTGATAGACCATCCCCACTCCCCTTACCACTTCCACACAGTTAAGTCCTTGGTTGGTGCCTGCTCATCAGGTGGACAGGAGACTCCATCTCCCTAACCACACTCTGTGCCCACTGGGTGTCCACATCCTAAACTTCATTAGGACACTGAAGTCCTGAGGTTGGGGAGGGACCAAAAAGATCAGTGGAAGTTCTGGCTGTCTCCCCGATCCCTACACTTAAATGTTTGTGACTGGAATGATTCTGGATGTGCTAACTGTCTACTGATGAGCATCTTGGTCCTCTGGTATCCTGAAGTCCTGGCCCAGTCTCCTCCTTGGACTTGTTTCCAAGGGAGTCTACTGTGATCACTAGGATCACCCCTTATCATGTGAGATTCATTTAGGTGTGTCAGCATTTGGGGACACGTGTGACATTCAGAATAGCTAGTGTAGATCTTCAACCACCTTCCATTCTATGTTTCCTGGCAGGAGTCCACTGGTAATTCTTTGAAGCAAAACAATACTTTTGCAACTTAATCTTCAGCATTTGGAATACAGTATCTCTTGTCTGAGCTTGAATGGAAAGAACCCACAGTCTGTGACTTCTAGCCATTTAGAAAAATGGCAATTGCCATAAGACGTGAACTTGGCATTTGAAATCAGCAGACAATGAGGAGTTAGTGTAATGTAAAGAGACAAACATGGGATTTGGATATGGGGAGGGCTGGGTTCCACATGCTTTTCACTTGCTGTCATGGGACTTTGGAGTGGACAATTTTCATGATCTCACTAAAGCCCATTTTTATCACCTTTTAAATGGGGGATAATACCATCTACCTCATAATATATTTGTGAGGATTAAAAGAGAGGAATTAAAATACCTGGCACATAAGAAACACTCAAGAAATATTAGTTTATCTGCCCCTTTACTCTTAATGATTTAATTAATCACTCCAAAAATAGAACATTCTTCAGAATAGACTCCTACCCATTTGCTGTTGATGGGACATCCAAAGGGATGTGCAGTTCTTTTGTTTGGTGTATAATAAGTTGACTTTGCACTTTAAAAGGGGAAAAAGGAAACCTCTGGTACCTCAAACAATGACCCTTTTAAAGTCTGCGCTGGACACCATTCTCAAAGAATATTCTTATTAACATACTTTATTATAAATGGAGCTCTACTCATCAAATATGTATAAGTTAGTAGCCTGCAGAGTCAGAGCAGTGCTTGGCAAACCTGAGGACATTTCCCATGTGCGCTGTGGGATGGCATAGGCAGGGGATACCCTTTAATTTTGTGACATGGTTTGGGGGGGCTCCAATGTGAGGTACTCTTGGCATGGTTTCTTCCAGCTCTGGGCCTGTTCTGGGGCCTGTCAGGACTCCCACATATCCCATCCTTGCAGGCAACTCCCTTTGAAGTCCATGGGAACTCTTTGAATGGAAAACATACACAACGGGGTGTTGATGCCAATAAGAATCAGGCCTGATGTATGCGAGGAATAAAGGTGCTTCTCACCCCAAATATTAGCTCTTTAGCCCAGAAACTATGGTTTGATCATTAAATAAAAGAGCACTCCCCTCCTCTCCAAAGAGAGGAGCTCCACCATCCATTTGCTCTGGAGATGATAAACCTGCTAATTGCTGGAGAGTTTTAATTAAGCAACAGATAGAGACAGTGTAGGGCTGTGTTTTTACTTTAAACATATCAATAGAATAAACATTCTCAATTCCAGGGCAACTTGCTAAATGAAAAAAAAAAATAAACATTACTTTCTTTTGAAATATCACTCATTGGGTGTGATAATTTAGAAAAATATCCCTATTAGAGATAGTTAGGGACGTTTTTTCTTTTTCTTTTTTTCTTTTTTGGTTGAAAATGCAATCGCCGATGGAGCACAAAGCTGCAATTTGTAGACAGGTTAAGTAAATTAAATCACTCACTGTCTTTTTCTTTTTTCCAATGGCTTTAAAAGTTAAAGGTAATTTGCAAAGAAAATGCTCAGTTTGAATTGGTTTGTAATATCTGTTAATGATCTTTAAAAAAATCCACTTATTCACAATTCTGTCCCTGGGGGAATTCCGATGTGCTATCAGAAAAAATTTCTAAAGTCTGAAATGTCATTAGCTGGTGATTTCTTTGAAGTAAAAAGCCCCGAAAAAAATAAATTATATAAGGTATACAAGTGCACAGGACAATCACTTTGATGAATAGTATCTCTTTTTTCGTAATGTTTCATACCTAAAAATGCAACAATTGAAATTCAAGCTGGTAAATTATAGAGCCATCTTTTGAATTACCTCAATGTAGGCATGCCTTCTGTTTATTTCTCACATATATTGAGTTCTTCCATGTATTTATAGATTGTTGATATAAAAACAGTAGTGTTAGGAACAATTTTGATTATATTCATTGTGTTTACTTTTTGGAAACACAAGGTGTTGCCTAAATACAGGCATACAGGTGTTGCCATCCGGGGATTAAAACAATAGCCTATTTCAATATTCCATCCTGGATCCCAGAGCCAGGTGCCGTGAATGGAGGTGCAAATGCTACTCAGCCCGGGAGAGTTGTTCAATATTAGATAACAGAGCCATGAAATACTACACCAAAGGGAAAATTTTCTTCCTGACCCCAGCTGGTGATCAGTTTTTGCCTGGAAGCAGGGGAGTCTTTGTAATACAATACTTGTCAATGTTGCTGGTTTGGCTGCTATAAATAGCTTTTTTTTTTTTTTTTTTTGGAGGATGGGAGGAGTTGGATTTTACTAAACCGTTGGCTACAGGTTAATTATACATTTCACACAAAAGCATTTCTTGTAGCCAGTCTAAATTTGTTATGTTTTAATCCCATTTTATATAAGGCTAGAAATATATGAGCCTCCAGCAGGCCCGTTATTATTGTCATTATTTTATACATTGGACCTTCAGCTCTCTCTCTCTCTCTCTCTTTTTCTTTTTCCTCTCTATGCATTACTCACCTCTTAGCTAAATTGCAGAGGGTCCCAGTTTCATTCATTCTCCCTCACAGGGAAGGCATTCACTTCCTCTTCCTCCAGCGGCCTGAAAATCATATGTGTGGTTTTTCCTCTTTCCTGCTCTGTAGCTGACATCAGGGGAGCAAACTGAACACAGGTAAGAGCCAGCTTGGTTAGCAAATTAAAATTGATTGATTTTAATGAAGATATTCTATAATATTTTCTTATTCTCTTTATTTACTTAAAGGAAAATGGAAATCAACATTTGAAACTTTTAAATGGAAGCTTTCCACATATGGAAAACTGCAAATAGCAGAAGTGTGTGACTTGATAAATTAATCTGGAGTGACCACATCCTCTAACTGCCTCCCAGGACAAGAAGGAGAATGTGAACAATGCTCCTGAAGGCCCCTTTCCCTCAAAGGTAACCATTGGCCTGACTTCTGACACCATATATTTGTTTTGCTTTTTTTGAAGTTCATGTAAATGGAATCATATTATAGGTATTCTTTTTTAAATTTCATCTTTATTGTGATAAGAACATTAAACATGGATAGGTGTTCTTTTGTCTGTCTTCATTCTCTCAACATTATTTTTGTGTCTATGTTGTTGGGTGTACTAACAGTATGTTTTCCTTGTTATATTTTCTTCCCTTGTATCCTTATATAAGTAATATAGCACAATTTATCATTTTTTTTTTTTGAGATAGGGTCTCCCTCTGTCACCTAGGCTGGAGTACAGTGGCATGATCTTGGCTCATGGCAGCCCTGACCTCCTGGGCTCAAGTGATCCTCAGACCCAGAGTAGCTGGGACTACAGGCTCATGCCACCATGCCCTGCCTGGCTAATTTTCTTTTTTCCTTTTTTTTTTTTTTAATAAGAGACAGGGTTTTGCCATGTTGCTCAGGTTGCTTTCAAACTCTTAGACTCAAGTGATCTGTCCATTTTGTCCTCCCAAAGTGCTAGGATTACAGGAGTACACCACCATGCTCGGCAGTTTATCCATTTTACCCTTGATGAACATTTGAGTTGTTTTGAGTTTTAGGCTATTTTCAGAGAGTACAGCTAGAAACTTTCTTGTGCATGTCTTCAATGCTTGTGTATATGCATTATGTTTAGTCTATACATAGACTAAAGGGGAAGTTACCAAATTGTAGAACATGACTATGCTCAACTTTAATAAATAATGCCAAACAGTTTTCCAAAGAGATTGTGTCAATTTCCACTCTTACCAGCAGTGAGTGATGTTCTACATCCCTGCTAGCACTTGGCATTCTCAGTCTTCTTGATTTTGGTCATTCTGGTGGTATGTATAGAGTCTCACTGTGGTTTTAATTCTATTTTCTTGGATTATTATTACATTGAGCATATTTTTCATGTATAGTGGCTATTTGGATATTCTCTTTTGTAAATGGTCATATTAAGTCTATTTTTCTATTGGACTTTTCATCTTTTCTTATTGATTTGTAGGAGATATATATTCTGGATATAGCTTTTTGGTTATATATGTTAAAAATATGTACCACTCTGAGCTTGACTTTTCATTCTCTTTGTGGTGTCTTTGGATGAATAGAAAATCTTAACTTTTTTCTTTTGTTTTGTTTTGCTTTTTGAGATAGGAGTCTTGCACTGTTGCTCAGGCTGGAGTGCAGTGGCTCAATCATGGCTCAATGCAGCCTCAATCCCCAGGGCTCAAGTGATTCTCTTACCTCAGCCTCCTGAGTAGCTAGGACTACAGGAATATGCCACCATGCCTATCTAATTTTTGTATTTTTTTTGTTGTTGTTGTTATAGATACGGGGTTTTGCCATGTTGCCCAGGCTGGTTTTGAGCTCCTGGACTCCTCAAGTGATCCTCCTAACTCAGCCTCCCAAAGTGCTAGGATTACAAGTATGAACCACTGTGCCCAGCTGATTTTAATGTTAATGTTAATATAGTCTATTTTCCTTGATGGTTAATGTTTTCTGTGTCCTATTTAGGAGAGCTTTGCTTACTTCAAGGCCATGATAATATCCTTTCATATTATCTTTTGTAAGTTGTGTTGTTTCACCTTTCACAATTGGATCTACAATCCACATGACATTGATTTTTGTATATGGTGTGAGGTTGGGATCAAGTTTGGTTCTTTACTCCATGATATCTACTTACCCTTCATGATGAATGGGAAAGACTTCCTTTCTCCATTGCTATGCAGAGACACTTTTGTCATAAATTAAGCACCCACTTCTTTATAGAATGATCATTTTACTTTTTTCCTTTATTCTGTTAGCATGGTGAGTTATTCAATGGGTTTTTGAATGTTAAACTAATCTTGCATTTCTGGATTAAACTCAACTTGGGTGTGATGTAATACTTATCTTACGTATTGCTGCATGTACTTTGGTCATATTTTTAAAAAAATTTATAGAAATGTTTATGAATGAAATTTACCTGTAACTTTCTTTTATTGTAATGTCTTTGTCAAATGTGTTATCAAGGTTCCATTGGCTCATAAAACAAGTTGAGAAGTATATAGTCTTTTAGAATCTAATCTCATATAGTAATTAAACATATATGTAGTTTATCCTGAGAAGGACTCACTACAGTTTTCTGTCTTTCTATGTTCCTGTGTGTTTTAACTTAGACTTTTAGCAAGAAGCTGATTTTGTGTGAGTTTTGCATGGGAAAATAAATAGGAATTAGGCTATCTTCTCGGAGTTTCCATATGGCACTCAGCAGTATGTTCATGTGCCCAAGGCTGAAATTTGTTACTGCATCTCAATCCTCAAACCCATAATCAAGGCTCATCAGTTGAGAAACCTTTTTGGACATATGACAAGTGTTCAGATAAAATATCTGATCCCTGCCAAGAATTTTCTAGGCCAATTTAATCTCTGACTTTTGACCTTATCAGTCACTGCTCCACAGACTTTTTAATTTTTATTTTTAAAATATCCTTTAGTAGCATGCATCTCATTCCTCATCCCAGATCTCCTTTTCTACTTAGTATTGTCCCAGTTCAAGGCCTTGTCACCTCTTGCCTGGGCAATGGCATCTATGGGATACTGTTCTCCATTTCATCTTCTTCTCAGCCATGCAGGTGCTGACTCTGAAATAGAAAGCTAACCACCTCAGTCCTTTGCTGAAAACTAGGTGATTTCTGTATTGCTCTGCAAGATGAAGTTCAGGTTTATCAATGTGGTGCAGGTTCTTGCATGATCTGGTGTCTTAGTCCATTCAGGTTGCTTAACAGAATATCTTAGATTGGGTAATTTATAAACAATAGAAATATATTGCTGGTAGTTCTGGAGGCGGGGGAGTCCAAGATCCAGGCATCAGCAGATTTGGTGTCTGGTAGGACTCCATAGATGGCACCTTGTTGCTGCATTCTTATGTGGTGGAAGGGGCAAGGAGGTCCCCTGGATCTTCGTTTATAAGGGCACCAGTCTTACTCATGATGGGAGAGCCCCCATGACTGAATCACTTCCCAAAGGCCCTACCTCTTAATACGATCCCATCAGGTATTCGGTTCCAACATGAGTTTTGGAAGGATACCAGCATTCAGACCATAGTACCTGGCTCTTGCTCACCTCTTCAGTCTGCTCTCTTGTCTCACTCTAGTCTTTGGCTTTACATTCCTGCAACTCTGTCTTCTGGTTCAACTGTGTGTGCTCCCTGTGGTTCTCTGTGCCTGTGCCTTTTCCTGTGCTGACCTTTCTCCCTGGAATAGACTATCCATATCCTTCTGGACAATCCATTCTTTAACAGCCAGCTCAGGGTAGGTAACCTTGCCCTCCACCCAGCTGGGCTCCTTGCCTCTCCTTTCTGCCCATGTGTCTGTCTGTCAGACTGGACTGTGAGCTCTTTGCAGGCAAGGTCTGGATTTTAGTCACTTATGTACACCCATAATTTCCTGTTTGCTGGTAGATAACAGGTGCTCAATAAACAATGATAAATCCAAACAGAAGGAAGAATGGTGACTAATTGACTATTTTGAGTCTAATTCCATTTCTTTTTGGAAGGCTGAGATGGAATAAAATGGTCAAAATGCCATGACCAGAAGGGAGGCAGGAAGGCAAAGGCTTGGGAAGATCTGTAGATACAATCTCTTCCTGTATAACTGAGTTCAGTCTAGCTGATTAAAATCCTCTTATGGTGGAATCTGCTTTTTATAGAATGGATTAGCAACAAGGATTTGCTGTGAAGATAGATTTTTCCAGAGAAACAAATTTGAGCAATTTAAGAATTTAAATGGAAAAAAAAAAAAAATCCTGCCCAAGAAGCAAATTGACCAATATCCTCCCCCCATCTCTTATTAATAAAAGAGTTTACACAGACACTCTTTATGAAATCATGTGAGAGATTCACAAGGATCATTAAGTCTCGGCTAGTCATTCACTTTCACTTTGTAAAATTGGCTATACCCTCAAAATGGTATCACGTAGAAACGGACTTTCTGGGGCTCTTATCTATGAATGGGTTCTAGCTGCACAGTGATGCCATTCATTTTATTTGGCCCATTTATTGCAAGTACATTCTAAATTTGGCCTTAATTATTTTTCCTTTCACAAAAATATTTTGTGGGATCTTTTTGAACCCTGACTACTTCCTTCTTGCCCCTTAAAACAGAAGCCAGGAGCATTATTTTTGTTCTCTTCTAATTAAAATAATTGCTTGGCTCCTTTTAACTAGATTCATGCAGTTATTAGCCTAATACATGGATGGGTGCCACGGAGTGCTTGAGAAACAAAATGAAAAGTGATCATGTAGCTTCACATGAAAAAGATTCTGTGGTGCCAAGGAGCATTATTTCCTTTCAGCCGGTATTTTATAAGGGCTTTCGTAAACCTGGCCCCCATACCCTCACTAAAAGACTATTAAGTGAAAGAATAGTTCTATTTTCTTTATTAAGGTATACAACTAGCTCAGTACAATTTGAAGAGGGGCACTTGATATGCTGAGCATGGCATAAAGACCTTGGGTCTGGTTTTAATCTCTGCCCCGGCTTTGTCTTTCAGAATCACTGCAGTTGAAGGAAAAATGCTCCGTGTCCCCTCTGCTGGTTGGTATTTATCAAAGGACGATGGAGGAAGAGAGACAAAGTGCCTGGATGTGTGTGTTAATCAAGAGTTGTCAGGACCCTGCCTCTAAAAGAAAGTGCTAAAATGATGCTTTTGACAAGACTTTTCTCAAAGTGGATGCAGTCCAAGGGTTGGAAAACAAGTCCCAATCAGGCTAGGTGCGACTTGTCGCCTGCTTTCGTAAATAAAGTTTTATTGGCTCACAGACACACCCATTTGTTTTGTATTATCTATGGCTGCTTTCGCTCCACAACATGGAGTAGTTGTGAAAGAGACCATATGGCCGACAAAGCCTAAGATATTTACTCTCTGGCTCTTGACAGGAAAAGTTTGCCAATTCCTGATGTTCTCCATCCAGTTCATTACCAATACCTTCTCCATAATGAGAAATAAATTTGTAGGTATTTTTACGTAGTACTTATTTGAAGAAATGCTCAGGGCCTTTGGCTGTGAGTTAATTTTATGAGTATTTGGAGCAGGTATATGGAAGACAGGCAGCAAGAATGATTTAAGGTAAGAAGTCATGATTAGAGATAAGATTCTGCCATTATTGTCTTAGGGGTAAATCACTGATTATGGCCATCTTGTTTCTCTGCTTGCTCTCTGGAGAAGAAGGTGTACACATATCTGGGATTTCTAGCTTGGAGCGCACCTTTATTAACTACATCAAGGCATTATGGTCAACATTGTGGACTTCTGCTTCCAGGACAAAAGATGAACATCCTTTCCCACCATTTGGTGGTTGGGAGGACCAAGTGAGAGAATGTGAATCCATGTGTTTTCTAAATCATATAGGTACTGTATTTGTGGTGTAGATGCTATCTATAAAACTTTAGAATAAATTATCATCCCTATTTGGCATGCGAGGAAATGTGATTTAGGTAGCATGCCCAAGATCATATAGTAAGCCAGTAGAACAGCTGGCAGTTACTTCTCCTGGCTTTAAGTCACTGCTCTTTCCGGTATACCATAATGCTTCTTTACATCATGTCTTTTTCTATAGTTTTGGAAATGTTCAGTCTTTTAGTTCATTGGTTCACTCATTCATCTGCTATTTAACATCATTTAGGAGCCTTGTATGAGCTAGAAAAAGAGCTGAAATTTTCCAGGGAGTGATGACTGTATAAAGATGAGTTGTAACGCTTCAGTTGTTTTGCTCTTAGACTCCTGTGGCTGGAATCCTCCAGAAGTCCATAGTTTCTTCTTCTGTTTTTTTCTGTGCTGTCCGAGGAGTTGGCTTTTATTTGTGCCATGAAGAAAGAGAAAGTAGATGAACTTGGAGAGGGAGAGTAATCCTATTGTTCTAAAAATGTTGCGTGACACCTTGTTTTACATTGTGTGCATCTGCATGTCTCTTGAGTGCACATACCATGAAAGGAGAGAGAAAGAGAGATACTGAAATGTTGATAGCACATTGTTCCAGCAACTAAAATATGAAAATGATCCAGGCTTGGGAAATGTGAAAGCTAAGATTTTGTACATAAAGTCCAAGTGAATCCATATCAAAGAAATTTCAGATGTGAATTACCCAGCTAAGCAACATATATTAAACAAGAGTGCGGCAGATATAGGCTTATTTTATCATACCGTTCAATACAGTTCTTCATTCAGATTATATTTATTCAATGATGTGTCTTGTAATTTTTGAGATGAGATGATAACCTGCTGGAGGAAGCAGCTTCGGCCAAAATATTGGATTTGCCTTGTCATAGTAAGAGAAGTACTTAAAGGTTTCTGATTTTGATATTTGCCCTTTTAGTGGGGGAAGTTTGCCAATATTTTCCTTATATTCAATGTTACTAGATACTTGTTGTATGAGTTTGTTCTTACACTGCTATGAAGAGATACTCCAGACTTGGTAATTTATAAAGAAAAGAGGTTTAATTGACTCACAGTTGTGCGTGGCTGGGGAGACCTCAGGAAACTCACAATCATGGTGGAAGATGAAGCAGGTATGTCCCTCTTCACATGGTGGCAGGAGAGACAAGTGCTGAGCAAAGGGGGAAAAGCCCCTTAAAAACCATCAGATCTCATGAGAACTCACTCACTATCATGAGAACAGCATGAGGGTAACTGCACCCATGATTCAGTTGCCTCCCACCATGTGTCCCCCCCATGATACATGGGGATTATGGGAACTACAATGGGCTATGGTGGGGACATAAACTGTATCACTTGTTCTTATCAGATTTATTGGTGAACCTAAAAGTCATATGATTCTCTAAAACAAAGGTGCCAATGAAGTTGCCTAATGAAAAAAACAACCTTCCAGAATCTTCCATTATACAGTTGTCACCTACAAAGACCTCTGAGCGGTCCTGTAGAAAGTTCTGCCTTACTCTCCTTGTTTCCCCCACAAAAGGCAGTCTCAGCTTTGCTGACTGAATATGGAGGTGATAGTATCAATTCTGTGATTCATCCATAAAGTATGCCACCTCTCAGATATTCCTAGGACCCAGGACACTGCTGTTTTAAGAAACATAATTTGTTTCATCATACAAAAGGCATATCCTTAGCAGGACTTAGTGCTGCTACAGGTAAGACATTTTGTCTGTAAGGAAGTCATCAACATTAATTTATTTAACTTTCTTCTAACAGAGTGAATTTTCTTCCATTTGCTGTGGAGTACACTTCTTTCTAATTCTATTTACTTAGCAGGTATTCTACTGAAAAAATTGTCACCACATTGGCAATGTTTTGTAGAGGGGAAATAGATTTTTCAACAGAGTGTAAGATTCCACTGCAATGGAATGTGTGTAAGTCTGTTTGTAATGATTGCACAATACTGTGGAAGAAAGTTAAACCTCTTTGAAAACTGTACTGTGTTACTACTATTACTATGACTATGACTATCATTACTGTGTGCACTGTTCTTAATGGCTTAAGTCTATTACACTGAGTTTCCCAGAAAGTAGAGCTTGAGGAAAATCTCATGTGCTGCCTCTTTCGTGGAGAGTTCCATCCCAGAGTAGTAGGAGTTCGGAAGAAAGGGTAGTGTGGCTGAAATGCAAGGAACAAATACAATGGTGTGTTATTGATGTATTTGATGACATGTAGCTGTCATCAAATGACATGTAGCTGACTGCTCCATCACCTGGGGCTGTGGTAAGCTAAACATTGGCCCCTAAAGAAATATCCACATCCTAATCCCTGGATCCTGTGAATGTTACCTTATATGGCAAAGACTTTGCAGATGCCATTTAGGATCTCGAGATGCAAGATTACCCTGGGTTTTCTGGGTGATTGCTACAGCCCAACACAAATGTCCTTGCAAGAAGGATGCAAAGGCAGGTTTGATACACAGAAGAGGAGAGGGCAGTGTGATCAAGGAGACAGAGATCTGAGTGATGTGGTCATAAGCCAAGCCACAGTCACCAGAGGCCAGAGTAGGCAAGGAAGGAATTCTCCCCTAGGGCCTCTGGAGGGAGCACACCCCCAGCCAATGCCTTGCTGTGAGCCCAGTGATACTGATTTCACACTTCTAGCCTCCAGAACTATAAGATAATACATTTATATTGTTTTTAACCACCAAGTTAGTGGTAATTTGTTACAGCAGCTACAGGAAACTAATACAGGGACCATCCTCCCAGAGCATAAGTGACTAAATCTCAGGACAGACTGATTGGGTGGAGGGAGAGTGACGAAGGGAAAAGAATTTGTTTGCCAGCTTCAGCCTCTGATTGATTGGTAAGTGGCTTTTGCCATGGGTTATTAATCTTCCTTTATTTCCTCCTCTTACCTCTGGACTGAGCATGGTTGTGCACTGAGTTTTGCTGGGATATCTCATGCTTCAGGGGCAACAGAGAAGCCCCAGGGTGGGAGGAGAGAAGCCAGGCAAGGTACCCAAGGAGAGGCTCTGTGGGATCATGTGCTCTACAGTCTATTGCAAGGCAGCTGCAGTGAACAACTGGTCAATGGCCCTGGGCAATGTGGCAGAGTTGGCACCTGAGAGATAGCTGGCAGGGGGGTCTGAGACAATGGTCTTCTTAGTTGGCACCACAACTTCACAAGGCAGGGGGATAAGATGTCTTCAACAGGCTTTCATCTGAAAGTCTTGAATCCTGCTAGCTTGTGGATCCTGCTGCCCCTCAGGGCTGCACTTTCGACTCCCACTGGAGTAAAAACTTGTCTTCTTGTAGCTCTATGATTGACTCTAGTTTTCCTTCTTTCTTTCTTTTTTTTTTTTGAAACAGAGTCTTGCTGTCGCCCAGGCTGGAGTGCAGTGATGTGATCTCGGCTCACTGCAACCTCTGCTTCCCGGGCTGAAGTGATTCTCCTGCCTCAGTCCCTAGTAGCTGGGATTACAGGTGCACACCACCATGCCCAACTAATTTTTGTATTTTTAGTAGAGATGGAGTTTCACCATATTTGCCAGGCTGGTCTCGAACTCCTGACCTCAAGTGATCTGCCCACCTTGGCCTCCCATAGTGCTGGGATTACAGGCGTAGCTTTCCTTCTTGATGTACATAAAATAAGGCTCATTCTTATACATGAAAGCTCTCTCCAAATATTTGAAGATTGTTTTTATCTGTTTTTTTTTTTCCCCCAGGCAAAACAGTCCTAGTTTTTTCAACTTGGCTTTGTGGAGGAGTTTTCTTTTTGTGTCTGGTGGCCACACCAGCCCCCTCCTCTGGATAAGCTGTAGTTTGCCTTCCTCTCACCTTACAAGGCAGCTCACAGAATGCACCAGAAATTCGGGTATGGTCTGCTCAAACACACAGTACTTTGACTTCATGAATGTTGCCAGAGATGGATTTTATTTTATTTTATTTATTTTTGCCAAACACATCATTTTTATTTGTTTTATGCTGAGTGTTGATTAAAATGCTCTTTTATACTTGGGTATAGATACCTATATAGAAGCTCATAGTTTTAAAGGTACCCAAAGAGCCTGAAAGAGTTAATCTATTTGCAGATGCTATCGTTATAGGTAAAAGATGAAAATGCCACCCCACATCAGGGCACATCAACATTCACAGTTTTATGCTGAATTGAGGTCAGTAGGCGATTCCCACAGTTTGGAACCAATCAGCCATGCCAGCCTGGGGAGCATTCTCAGTCAACCCTGCCTACCACCAACCCTTCCCCATAAAAAACCAACTTCTGAAGGAGCTTCTGGAGGTAGATTTACCCAGGTGGGAATGTTCCCTTTCACATCTCTAGCAGTCAGCACTGATTTGGATTCTGTTCTTGGTCCAGTCCACGTCCCCA